GGTATTATTTCTATCATCACTACTACTACTACTACGACTACTAGTACTACTACTAGTACTATCACTAGTACTACTAGTTTTACTAGTACTAGTACCACTAATAGTTGTAGTTCTACTACTACTACAACTGGTCGTTTTAGTTTTATTACTACGACTACTACTTCTACCTCCTACTACGCCAACTACTACTCTTATTACCATTTCTACTACTACTACTACTACTACTACGGCGATTACTATTACCACTGGTACTATTATTATTACTACTACTACTACTACTTCTACTTCTACTTCTACTTCTACTACTACTACTACTACTACTACTACTACTACTACTACTACTACTAGTACGAGGACAATTTTCACGTCTACCATTATTATTATTATTAGTTCTGCCACCACCACTACTACAACCACTACTACTACCACTGCTACTATTACGACTACTACTGTTTCTATTACTACTACTACTACTGCTGCTACTACTACTACTACTACTACTACTACCACTAGTTCTACGAGCTGTTCCATAGGGATCCCATGAGGGTGTGTAGGGTCTTCATGGATCCCACAGACATCCCATGAGGGTCAGTAGGGACCCCATAAGGGGTCTCATGAGGGTATGTATGGATCTCATCAGGAACTCACTAGGGTTTGAGGGGATCCCATAGGGATCCAGTGAGGGTCTGTAAGCTTCCTATGAGGGTCTTTAGGGATCCCAGAGGGATCCCATGAGGGTCTGTAGAGATTCCACAGGGATCCCATGAGGGTCTGTAGGGATTCCACAGGGATCCCATGAGGGTCTGTGGGGATTCCACAGGGATCCCATGAGGGTCTGTGGGATTTTCATAGGGATCCCATGAGGGTCTGTAGGGATTCCAAAGGGATCCCATGAGGGTCTGTAGGGATTCCATAGGGATCCCATGAGGGTCTGTAGGGGTTCCATCGGGATCGCCTCGCTGGTGCAATCTTGCATCATGGAGGTCGGATTCGGCGGATGTGCGAAAGGGTGTGTGTTAAGTTTCCGTTTTTTTGTTGTTGCTTGGTTTTTTGGAGTTGTTATGTTGTTCTGTTGTTCGATGTGCGGGGGGGTGGGGGGGGACCGGATACCCGGCAGCCGGTTTCGCCCTGTGGGAAGCCGGCCAGCCGGGTCCCTTGGGACCGGGTACCCAGCAGCCGGCTTCACCTTGTTGTTGTTGCTGCTGCTGCTGTCGCTGTTACTGTTGCTGTTGTTTTTGTTGTTGTTGATGATGATGCTGTATATGTGCCCCGTCCCCGGAGGGGGGGGGGGCAGCAGGCAAGCAGGCCAGCACCCACACCCACACCGACGCCGACGCCCACGCTCACGCCCAGGGGCGGGCGGGCAGCAGGCCAGCACCCACACCCTCACCGACGCCTACGCCCACGCCCACGCCAACGCCCACGCCCACGCCCACGCCCACGCCCACGCCTGCACCCACAGCCACGCCCACGCCCACGCCCACGCGCAAGCCCACGCCCACGCTCACACCAACGGGCCAATTTCGGAGCACTCCTGACACGTTTCGTGGCCCCACGAGGGGTCTCCACGGAATGCCTCGGGCCAATTTCGGGGTACCCCTCACACGTTTCGTGGTCCCACGAAGGGTCTCCACGGGATGCCTCGGGCCAATTTCGGGGTACCGTTCACACGTTTCGTGGTTCCACGAGGGGTCTTCACGGGACGCTCCGGGCCCATTTCGGAGTACCATTCACACGTTTCGTGGCCCCACGAGGGGTTTCCACGGGACGCCTCGGGCTCATTGCGGTGCACCTTTCACGCGTTTCGTGGCCCCACGAGGTGGACCCACGAGGTGTCCCCACCGAAGGCAACGCGAGTCATTTCGGATGCTTCGGGGCCATTTTGCAGCACCCCTCAATCGTGCCGCTGCCGTTCGAGGGTCTTCACGGGGCGCCTCGCGCTCATGTCGGAGCACCCCTCGCACGTTCTGCAGCCCTTCGCACGGTCCACTGCCCTTGTGGAGTGTCTCCGCGGGATGCCTCGGGCACTCTTCGGATCACCCTTCACACGTTTCGTGGTTCCACGAGGGGCCTCCACGGGACGCTCCGGGCCCATTTCGGAGTACCCTTCACATGTTTCGTTGTCCCAAGATGGGTCTCCACGGGACGCCTCGGGCTCATTTGGGGGCACCACTCACACGTCTCGTGGCCCCATGAGGGGTCCCCACCGGAGGCATCGATTGATTCTCATGATTCTTCTTGATTCCTATTGGTTCTTATTGATTCTCAGTCATTCCTACTGATTCAAATTGTCTCCTGTCGACTCTTTTTGAATCTAAATGGTTCCTATTGATTCCTATTGATTCTCAGTGGTTCCCATTAATTGTCATTGATTACGATTGATTCTAATTGATTCCTGTTGCTTCTAGTTGATCCCTATTGCTTCCAATTGATTCCAATTGATTCCCAGTGCTTCCAATTGATTCCAATTGATTTCAATTGATTCCTATTGATTCCTATTGATTCTAGCTGATTCCTTTCGATTCCAATTGATTATGATTGATTCCTATTGGTTCCTATTGATCTACACTGATTCCTATTGATTCGAATTGATTCTTGTTGACATCAATTGATCACTATTGAGTTCTATTGATTCCTACTGGTTCTAAGTGATCCCCATTGGTTCTACTTGATTCTCATTGATTCTAATTGGTTCGTATTGATTCGAATTGATTCCTATTGGTTTCAATTGAGTCTCAAAGTTTCTACTTGTTTCATACTGATTACCATTGATTCCTCATGTCTCTAATTTATTCCGATATGTTCTAGTTGATTAGGATGTTTCTAGTTGATTCCAATTGATAACATTTGATTATTATTGACCCCCATTGACTCTACTAGATTCCCATTGATTCCCACTGATGATATTTGATTCTTATTGACCGCCATTGATTCTAATATATTCCCATCGGTTCTAATTGATTTGTTTGATTCTAATGTCATTCAATCCGATTTCCCTACCTAGGCTCTGCCTAGAGGGTTCTTACCCTGTATCTTAAAGGGGCCGGGCAGTGGAACCCGCCCCGGGCGGTTCCCCCGGCATCCGCCCCGCGGTTCCCCCAGTCCCCTGGGAGCTTTAGCTTTAGCTTTAGCTTAGCTTTAGCTTTGCTTTAGCTTAGCTTAGCTTTAGCTTAGCTTTAGCTTAGATTTAGCTTAGCTTTAGCTTAGCTTTAGCTTAGCTTTAGCTTAGCTTTAGCTTAGCTTTAGCTTAGCTTTAGCTTAGCTTTAGCTTAGCTTTAGCTTAGCTTTAGCTTAGCTTTAGCTTAGCTTTAGCTTAGCTATAGCTTACTTTTAGCTTAGCTTTAGCTTAGCTTTAGCTTAGCTTTACTGTTACTACTAATGCTGCTTCCCTACGGACTCCAACTCCTAGGTAGGTTCGCACTGGGATAATGAAACCAGTGCATCCCTTTTGATTCCTATTGAATTGAATTCATTTCCATGGACTCATATCGATTTGGATCTCTTGATTCTAATTGATTCCTATTGATTCGAATTGCTGCCCTCAGTGGCCCCGCTGTCGCCCTTTTCGGCCTCGTATACGAATGCCCTTCGTGGCCCCCGCTCGCTCCCGTCGTAGCCCCATATGCATGCCGTGGCCCCGCTGTCGCCTTTTGTGGCCCCTCGCTGCCCTTCGTGGCCCCGGTGCTGCCCTCAGCGGCCCCGTCGCTGCCCTCTGTGGCCTCGGATTTTATGCCCTTCGTGGCCCACGCTGGCTTTTCTCACGATTTACTTGGGAATCGCGTTATCACTCGAGACTTCCTCGCGATTCATCAAGGACCCACACTTCAGCAACCCGCCTGCTCGACCTCGTCGCTTGGGCTCGCCTTCCCGACCTGCACGCTATGGGTCTGCCCACCCGATCTGCCCGTTTGGTTCTACAACTTGTTTTCTGCTCCTTGCCCCCCCTCCTGCTAATTTGTCTCGTGCTCCATTCTTCTCAGTTCCCCTTTCACCCGTCCTCTCTTCCCTTGTTTCAGGGGCTGCATCAAATACACGTGGCAGGTAAGGAAGACATACCCCCAAGGGGGTACGATCGAAGACGACGAGGGCGGGTACCGAGGATTTGGGATATACGTATTGATTGGCACGTGAGCAGATAAGAGCGAACAGTCTTACAATGACTGTTGTTGTCGTCGTCGTCGTTGTTGTTGCTGTTTCTGTTGTTGCTGTTTGTTGTTTGTTGTCTGTTGCTTATTGTTGTCGTCCCGCCCGCGACGTTGCCCGCGACCCGCCCGCGACCCGGCCCGCGACCCACCACGACCCGGCCCGCGACCCACCCGCGACCCACCCCGCGACCCTCCTGCGACCCACCCGCGACCCGCCCCGCGACCCTCCTGCGACCCACCCGCGACCCATCCGCGACCCACCCGCGACTCACCCGCGACCCACCTTCGACCCGGCCCGCGACCCACCCGCGATCCACCCGCAACCCACCCGCGACCCACCCCGCGACCCACCAACAATCCTTTGACAAGAAAATCGGCGCCTGCGGCGGGTTCGTTTTTTTTTTTTTTTTTTTTTTGTTGTGGGGGGGGGGGGGTGAATCAATGTTATAATAACATAACATAAAAAGTAAGCGCCTGCGGCGGGCTTCTTCAGAGCCTCGCAGGCTGCCGACGTCCCCGCTGTCCCCTTACTCTTATCCGCAACTGCAGGGTGCTACGTATTGAGATTGGACCGCGCTCCCACCTCGTAATCGGAAGGCGCTCGCGCGCGGCACCGCTTCCGACGACTTGGCGAAAGGAAAATTAAGCGGGCCGGAGCGGTACATTTTCTGACGGGCGCGGCGAAGACGAAACATACCGTGGGACGAACATGCCGCGAGCTTCCAAGATTCGCGGGGGAGGAGGAGGATCATGTTGACTGGAGGAGGAGGAGGGGGAGGAAGAAAAATAACAACAAGAGGAATCAAACGAGGATGACACGGAGGAGGTGGATAGGAGGAAGAGGATAAATTCTAGGTGCTGGGTCTCGTGGGCACCAACGGCATCGGCAAGTCCACGGCCCTCTCCATCCTGGCCGGCAGGCTGTGACCTCCTTGCGTCATCCCTGCCTCCTCCTTCTCCCCGCCATCCTTGACTTCTCTTCCTCCTCCTTCTCCTCCTCCTCCTCCTCCTCCTCCTCCTCTTCCGTCCTCCTCTATTATACTCCTCCTCCTCCTCCTCTTCCTCCTCCTCCTCCTCTTCCTCCTCCCCCAATCCCCCCCACCCCATCATTTGCTTCCTCCTCCTCCTCCCTCCTCTTTCCTACTCTTCCTCGCTGTTTCGCTTTCTCCACAGCGTTAAGTCGGGCGTGTCCCTGTGCAGGGGGAAGATGCAAAAATTGTAAAAAGTTAAGTCAGGGGACTTTTTTTTGTTTTTTTTGTTTTTTTGTTTTGACAATTTCGTCCAACATCCGCCCCGACCTGACCATGCCGCGCTCCCGCAGCCTCGTGCGGGCTGCGGGAGGGCCCTGCCCGCCTGGGGGAGGGGTCGGGACCTCTGCCCTCCGGCCGAGGCCGCTGCTCTCGGTGCCGGTGCCCGCGGGGTCCTGGGCCCGGCAGAAGCGGCGGCAGCCGCCAGGCCCAGCCCCAGTCGCACCCGACAGCCGTGAGTCGGGTCGGGCGAAAGGGGGGGATTGGGAAAGGGGGGTTACGAAATTTGCTGCATGCAGCTGGTTTCGGCCCCACCGAGGGGCCCATTCCTCGATACATAGCCGCCTCCGGCGCCGGGAGGCGCGGGGAAAATCAGCTACGTGAGCTGATTCTCAAACCCCCCCTTTGCTATCCCCCCCTTTCGCCCGACCCGAGTGAGGCTGTGGCGCGTTGAGCCCGCGACCTGTGCAGGCGTGGTCGGGTCGACGGTGGGCCCTACCAGGCGGCCGCCAAGGAGGGAGGGCGGGGCCGGAGGAAGCAGGACGGGCCTGGACGGAGAGGGACGGAGGAGGAAGATGCTGCCCCACCGCCAGCAGCAATCCCCAAGAGCGGGGAGGGGCCCTGCCTGGGCGCTCCCCCTCTGGCCCAATGCCGAGCCCCAGCCCCGCCGCGCCCAGGCGCTCGTGCCCATAGGTGCCGCCTCGCGGAGGCGGTGCCGCTGCGGCCCCGGCTCCCCGCATGCTCCTCCTCGCACTCTTCTTGGTGGCCCTCGATGAGGATCCAGTCGTCCGCGCAGCTTGTGGACAGGGCCATCCCAGGGGGTGGGCGCGAACTGATAGATGGGCGATAAATTGGTGGGGGGGAGAAAGTGCCCTTTTCGGGCCCTGAGAGCTCTCTTTTGGGCCCTACATGGCCCCTTTAGCGGCCCTGAAGGGCCCCTGTTCGGCAGCCCTCGCTGCCCCCCCGCCGTAACCGCCCCTCCATCAATGCGCGCCCGAAGGGAGGGGAGCCAGCGTTAAGTCGGGCCTGTCTCTCTACAGGGGGAATATTCAAAAATAGTAAAACAATGGCCTGGGACGTTTTTTTTTCAGATTTTTTTTGAATACTTTTTCTTTTTCGTCCAACATCCCCCTGTAGGGGACAGGCCCGACCTAAAGCCAGCGGCCCGCGCAGCACGCCGGGCGGACAACGCGGGCCGCACGCCTGGCGGACACGATGCCCTCCTGGCCCCTGCGCCTCGGGCGCGTCGGGGTCGTCGCCGTCGCCCTCCGTGGGCTCGACGGCTGGGCAGCCGCGGTGGTCTCGCCCAGCAGCAGCCAAGTCGCCGTCGCCGCGTGCGAGGGCGCATTGTTGTGCCCAGCTTCAAGTCGGGCCTGTCCCTCTGCAGGGGGAATATTCAAAAATAGTAAAAAATAGCCAGGGGACTATTTTTTGAGTGTTTTTGGGCTTCTTTTGAGCATTTAGTGGGTATTTTTTATTTTTCGTCCGAAATCCTGGGGGGACAGGCCCGACTTAAGCCCAGCTGAACGATGCAACAAAAACAGGGCCGTCTGCGCCGACATTGGCGTGCGTAAGCTGCCCGCGTCAGGTCGCGCGTAAGCGCCCTCGTCTCTCCACTGGCGTGCCGCGCCGGCGCTCCGCGTAAGCCGCCGCGTAAGGTCGCTGTGCCATCTCGCGTAAGGAGGAGGAGGAGGAGGAGGAGGAGGAGGAGGAGGAGGAGGAGGAGGAGGAGGAGGAGGAGGAGGAGGAGGAGGAGCAGTGGAAACCCAAGAGGCATCAACGAGGTTGGAATCAACCCCCCCCCCAAGCTCCCTCTCCATAGGCCCCTACAACGGTTCATTTCCATTGAGGGAACTGCCTCGTTGGGAGACAACAGTTTGAAGATCCTCAAGCGTTTCTCGGGATTTCATTGCCACGTGTCAACCTGGCTGCTGCGTCTTGGCGACCCAGAGTCGCACCAGAACGCCATTTTTGGGACCTCAACACAGCGAAGCAACATAACTGTTGCGCCCGCATAATCTTGAATCCGTCCAAAACACCGTTTCTGGTACGTTGATCATGGGAATCCGTGAAACTCCCGATCCCTTTTTTAATGAATGCGCGCGGCGCTAAGGCGAGAGCCACATTTTGAAAACCACCCGTCCTCAATCCGTGAGACTCTTGCATTTTTTTAAGACGCATGGGCGCGGCGCTAAGGCGAGAGCCACATCTTGAAAACCACCCGCCCTCCATCCGTGAAGCTCTTGCAATTTTTTAAGACGCATGGGCGCGGCGCTAAGGCGAGAGCCACATCTTGAAAACCACCCGCCCTCCATCCGTGAAGCTCTTGTCACTTTTGAAGCTTCAGGGTCATACATGTTGAGGACGTCTCAGGCCGCCCTCCATCTGTGAAGCTGCTGTCACTTCTTAAGCTTCAGGGTCATAAGTGGTGAGGAAGTCTCGGGCGAAACGCCCAGCCCGCCCTAAAAGCTGGCCTAGGGGTGCGACAGGGAGGGGTTATCTATGAGGAGAAGGAATGGAGGATTGGATTGGACACTTCGAGAGCGAGGCTGGGCCTTCCAGCAACGAAGGTTAGTAGGAAGACCCTGTACCGCTCAGCGGCACAGGGCTCCCCACCAACCAACATGCCAGAAAGAACAGCCTACAGAGAGCACGACGACTCCGATCCCAACTCAAAGCTGGTCTTCGCCAGCTCCAGTGCCTGTCAGCCCGGCTTTGCCTCCAAGTCTGGAGGTGGGGGCGCAGGCGGCTTAAACATCACACAACGTCTCGTCGACCTCATCTCTTCACCTCCGAACCTCCACCACCCCATCTCCGACGCCAGATCTACGAGGGAGGGGAATGAGGGAAGGCGGCAAGAAGGAAGAGGAAGACTAAGCAGGAGCAGCGCGCTCGGCCCTCAGGGGGAGAATCGCGCCCTGCGCTGCTGCAGGCGCTGCGCGGCCTCGCACTCACCGCACGCGCGCGCGCGCGCCGAAGCGCCGGGCCCTCACGCAAGCCCGGCACCCTGGGACAAGGCCGCCACGGCCGTCGTCCTTGCTTCGAGCTGGGCCGGACTCGATAGCGGCTGCGGGCCCATCGGGAGCTCCTTCAGCACGAGTTTGGGCAAGACCCGCAATATGCTCTGCACGACTACGGCCATGTGCAGGAAGAGGCTGCGAACGCGCTCCGTCAGCAGCACTGTCACCAGCAACGTCTTCACCAAGAGGTTGTTCTCCAGACGGTCCGCCACGAACCTCGATAGGAGGAGCGGTACCAGTAGATCCGGCCGAAGCAGGAGGAGCAACACCAGGATGAGGAGCACGTGCACCGTCGTCGACGGCGCGATGAGCATTTCCCCGGTGCAAGTGTTCAGCCTTTCGAGCGTCCTCTGCATGAAGGGCACGTGCAAACGCGGCCCCTAAATGCGTCGGGTGGCAGCCTCGATGCCGAAGCGCATCGAATCCACGAAGCAGAAGCTGCACCGCCCTGACCTGTGCACGAGCGGCCTGAGGCGCCGTGGCCGGGTTGTCCGCCACGGCGGGTTCCGCTCCATGGCAGCCCCGCGGGAGGAGGGAGGCGCGGGAGAAAGGGAGGGCGAGGGGGGCAGGCGGCGCGGGGGGCGCCCGTGGCGCTGGCTCGCAAGGCCTGGGGAAGGGCCTGGGCCGAGCTGGCGCTGAGAAGGAATGGAGGAGGCGGAGGAGGAAGGGGGGGGGAGGGGCGATAGCGGCCAGTAGCGCTGCCTGGCAGCTGGGGGCCGACGCCGCGCGGCGCAGCCCCACCCTGCTCGTCGCGGCCTTGGCGGGTGGCGGCAGCGCCGCCGCCACCCCCAGCCAAAGAGCGCGCCCTGCGCGGCGGCGTGGCCCCGCCGCGTGTGCGCTCCTCCTGCAGCCGGGATTGGTGGGCCCCTCGGGGCTCGCGAGGGTCAATGCAAGCGGGGGTCAGCCAGAGCGCCGGATCTTGCAGGGTCCCTCAGGGCCAGGGCGCCAGGGACAGGGCCAGATTTTGCAGGGTCCCTCCAGGATCCTGCAACGCCTGACCGACCCGGGTCTGGACTGACCCAGGTCAGTGGTCCCTGAGATCCTGGAGTGGGCCTCCGGGATGCCCGGCCCCTTGGCCAGCTACCAGCTGGACCCAGAAAGTCACCGAGCGCGTTCCACTACTCGCAAAGGGCCTGCTCGCAAACGTCCGAACATCACACGTCTGCTTTGATGTAATCTGTCGTAGATCCCCCGCGGGGGATCCAGGCCATTTGCGAGTAGTTACTTTGCGAGTAGTGGAGCTCGCTCGTCCAGAAAGGCTTGGGCCCTCCGTAGGGAGGGGCGATAGAGAGAGAGAGAGAGAGAATATATAGGAAAGAGGTGGCCCGCGCAATCCTGGGGGCTGAGACACAGCCTGGCGTGTAATGTACGCGCGGACCTCCGAAGGTTATGTTTGCGTGTTTCACTGTCTGCTCTCCTCTGCCCCACCCTCTCTCCTCCGGTCACCCGCTCGCTTCATGCCACTCTGTGGCCTCCTCGGCTGCGAGGCTCAAGCCGAATCTGGGGCGGTTCGACGTCCAGCCGGGCTGGCCCGAGATCCTCGCGTCCTTCCGCGGGGGCGAGCTGCACAACTACTTCGAGCGGATCCTCTCGGGCTCTGCGAAGACGGTGATCAAGCCCCAGTACGTCGACAGGATCCCGCGGCAGCTCGGGGGCAGCGTCGGCGACGTGCTGAGGCGGAAGGACGAGAGGGACGCGCTGAAGTCCCTGACCGAGGAGCTGGAGCTCGCGCACCTCTCCGAGAGGAGCTTCTCCGAGCTCTCGGGGGGCGAGCTGCAGCGCTTCGCCATCGCCCTCCTGTGCGTGCAGGAGGCGTGCGTCTACATGTTCGACGAGCCCTCGTCGTTCCTGGACGTGCGGCAGCGCCTGCAGGCGGCCCACGTGATCCGCGGTCTGAACGACGTCGAGAACTACATCATCGTGGTCGAGCACGACCTGGCCGTCCTCGACTACCTGTCGGATTTCGTGTGCTGTCTCTGGGGCTCGGCCGGTGCCTACGGCGTGGTTACCATGCCGTTTACAGTGCGGGAAGGCATCAACGTCTTCTTGGATGGCAAGATCCCCACCGAGAACCTCAGATTCCGAGAGGTGTCCCTCACCTTCAAAATCTCGGAGCCGCTACCCGAGGCAGTCGAGAGCGACAAAGACCAGAGGTACGACTACCCCGACTTAGAGAAGACCATGGGCAAGGGCTTCGGGCTTCAGGTTCAGGCCGGCTCCTTTTGCCGCAGCGAGATCGTGGTGATGCTGGGACAGAACGGCACCGGGAAGACCACTTTCATCCGCATGCTCGCAGGCATGCTGAGGCCCGACAATTTGAAGCCAGGGGAGGCGGGGCTTCCGGAGCTTAACGTGTCGTACAAGCCGCAGAGCATCACGGCCAAGTTCATGGGTACGGTGAGGGACCTCTTCATGACAAAGATCCGGGACGCTTTCATGCACCCGCAGTTCCAGGCAGACGTGTCCAAGCCGATGCTCATCGACGCCATCATCGACCAGGACTTGCAAACCCTGAGCGGCGGAGAGCTGCAGCGGGTGGCGATCGTCTTGTGTCTGGGCAAGCCGGCGAACATCTATCTGATCGACGAGCCCTCGGCCTATTTGGACGCCGAGCAGCGAGTGGTCACCGCGAGGGTTATCAAGCAGTTCGTTCTCGCCACGAGGACACCCAGGTGGACGAGAAGGCATGTATATATATATATATATGCATATGCATATACATGTCGTTGCTCATGTTTATATATATATGTATATGTATATGTATGCGTATACGTATGTGCGTATGCATGCATGCATGTATGTATGTTTACGTGTGTATATATATAGACATATATCTATACACGTGTCTGCGTGTATGCATACATGTACGTATGCATGTACGTATGTACGTCTGTGTGTATGTGTGTGTGTGTGTATGCAGACATGTATGTATGCATGCATGCATGTATGCATGCATGCATGCATGCATGTATGTATGTATGTATGTATGTATCTATGTATGTATATATGTATATTTGTTTGTTTGTTTGTTTGTTTGTTTGTTTGTTTGTTGTTTGTTTGTTTGTTTGTTTCTTTGTTTGTTTGTTTGTTTGAATGTATGTTTGTGAATGCATGTTTGCATACATGCATTCATGCATGTATGTATGTATGTATGTATACATGTATGCATACATGTATGTCGACAGGCAGGCAGACAGGTAGGTAGGTAGGCAGGTGGGTAGGTATGTATGTATGCATGTTTTATGTATGTAAGTATTCCCCACATGCTTCGTGGGGTTCTGGTTTTCTTCCCTGCCGCGCCGCACCCGCGACACTCACACCTCACACCTCCCTCTCCGTCTCTCTCTCACACACCTCACTCTTCCCCTCCTCACAGCACTGCTCAGCACAGCTCAGCTCAGCTCAGCTCAGCTCAGCACGGCACAGCTGAGCACAGTTTAGCTCAGCTCAACTCAACACACCACAGCACAGCACAGCACGGCACGGCACGGCACAACACAGCACAGCTCTTCGCACAGCAGCACAGCACAGCACAGCACAGCATAGCACACAGGGCATTCCTTCGACGCCACAGGGGGTGCGCTGGGGGTGGGGGCCCTATGCGTTGTAGGCTCCCAGGGCGTGGAATGCGTGGCATTTCCTCGACGCCACAGGGGGTGCGCTGGGGGTGGGGGCCCTATGCGTTGTAGGCTCCCAGGGCGTGGCAGGCGTGGCATTTCCTCGACGCCACAGGGGGTGCGCTGAGGGTGGGGGCCCAATGTGTTGTAGGCTCCCAGGGCGTGGCAGGCGTGGCATTTCCTCGACGCCACAGGGGGTGCGCTGGGGGTGGGGGCCCTATGCGCTGTAGGCTCCCAGGGCGTGGCAGGCGTGGCATTCCTTCGACGCCACAGGCGGTGCGCTGGGGGTGGGAGCTCGTATCTTGTCAAGAAGTGTAAACACCTTGGCTCAAGCCGGCTCGGCGCGCCTGCGCTCTCACGCAGGCGCGCTCCTGTAGTCCTACTTCAGAGCACCGCCCGACCTGCGCGGCAGCCATGCCTCCCAAAATCGCCGTGGACACGTTGCCACCTCCATGTTTGGCGATGAAGAATGCAATGGTTCAGATGGGCGGCGAGGTTAGCGTGGAGACCTCCCGCAGATGCGCCAACGGAATGGTGCAGTCCGCTTTGAAGCGTACCGCCGCCAGCTTCACAATTGGTGGCCCGATACGATCTACGCGAGGTACTCGGAGATGAACGACGGTTGGTGGCCTGGCTGGTCTGCATGATTGGCCTGGCTGGCTGGTCGGATTACTCTGGCTGGTTATGACTGGAACGAATGATCTGGCTGGTCTGGTCAGTCTGGCTGGTCTGGCTGGTTTGGTCAGTCTCTCGTCAGGATGGCGAAGCGAAATGTGGCACGGTTTGTGAACACACGTGACATAACATAAGTATGTGAGGTTCTCCGGTCGTGTAATGTATGTTTTTAGGCGTGCGCACGTTAATGCGTGCATGCGTGTATGTATGTATGTATGGATTTCTGTAGGTATGTCGGTCGGTAGGGAGGTATGTAGGTAGGCATGTGTGCATGCTTGCGTGTACGTGTGTATGCATATATGTATGTACGCATATATGTGTGTTTGTGTGCCTGCATGTATATATGCATGCGGGTCGATATGTATGTGGGCATTGTATGTATGTATTTACGTATGTATGTCTGTGCGTATGCATTATTGTATGTACATATGCATGCATGCATGTCGGTATGTATGTGTGTATGTATGTATGTATGTGTGTATGTGTGTATGTATGTATGTATATGTATATGTATATGTGGGTGTATATGTATACGTATATGCTTATGTATATGTATATGTGTATATATATATACACACATAGTTGTCTATTTGAATGTGTGTGTACACACAGCTTCACACATTCCCCAATCAGAGCGTTGGGGTCCTAGCGGATTAAAAGGCTTAGGTGAGGTTGGTCGCCGATTTCGGTGGCCGGGCCCGGGTGCCAGGGTGCCCGGGTGCCCGGCGGTGCCCGGGTGCCCAGGTGGCCGGTGAGTGGCGTGGCCGATTTCGCTGGCCGGGCCCAGGTGCCCGGGTGCCCGGGTGCCCAGGGGTGCCCGGGTGCCCGGGGGTGCCCAATAACCCAATAGCCCAATAGCAAAGTAGTCATATAGCCCTATAGCCCTACAGCCGTATAGCCCTATAGCCCTGTAGCTTTATAGCCTTTTATCCTTATTGCCCTAGTAACCTTATATCCCTATAGCCTTATATCCCTATAGCCCTATAGCCCTAATCGCCCTATAGCCTTCTATCTTTGTAGCCCTAATAGCTTTAAAACATCTGATTGGGATTTTTCTCCGGTATCATATGCATTCCCAAACAGAGCTTGCCTTTGTAGGGGTCCTAGCGGATTCATATGGTTAGGATAGGTTTGCCGCCGATTTTCGCCGCACGCCCGGGTGCCCGGGTGCCCGGGGGTGCCCGCGCGTGCCCGGGGGTGCCCGGGTGCCCAGGGGTGCCCTATAGCCTTATAGCCCTATGTTTCTATAGCCCAATAGCCCTATAGCCCTATAACCCTACAGCTCTATAGCTCTATAGCCCAATCGCCCTGTAGCTCATTAGCCCTATTGCCCTATAGCCGTTTAACCCTATAGTTCTATAGCCCTATACCCCTGATACCTATAGCCCTATAGCCCTGTAGCTCTATTGCTCTATAGCCCTATAACCCTATAGCCCTATAGCCCTATAGCCCATATAGCCCCATAGCCCCACAGCCCTAACAAGATTATGATTGGGCTTTAATCCGGCTTACATTTATCATATATATATATATATATATATATATATGTGTGTGTGTGTGTGTGTGTGTGTGTGTGTGTGTGTGTGTCCGTGCCGGCGCAGCCCTGGGGCCCTGGGCCGGCCTTCGACGCCGCACGGGGGTCCCAGGGTCTCCGACATGCCCCCAGGGTTCCAGAAAAAAACTTCGAGACGGCTTCAGAGGCCTCCAAGATGCCCCAAAAGAGCCTTAAGAGGGCCCGAAAATGCCAACGTGATTTTCTTTTTTGTTTCCCACATGCTTAGTGGTGCTCTTGTTTTCTTCCCACACGCGTCTCACCCACGTTTCTCATCACCCCTCCTCCTTCTCTCAGCCTTCCTCACCTCTCCTCCTCAACTCCTCCACGCTCATGCGCGCCTTAGACACACGCACACCAGGCATGCGCACACGTGCACGCCGCGCATACGCATCAAAGGCATACGCAGCACGACATAAAACACGACATCCATATGACACGCACGTCCATACACAGCCGTGCACGTATCTTACATCACCCACAGAGACGCGTCCGCATACAGCCGCACACACATCATACACATGCACAAAGCACACAAGACGCAAGACGCGTGCACGCACACGCGCAAGGGGTGTGGTCGCTATCCGCCGCACGCTCGCAAACGTGGCAGGCATTGCAGCTTCTCGACGCCACAGGGGGTGCGCTGGGGGTGCGGTCGTTATCCGTCGTACGCTCGCAAAGCGTGGCAGGCGTGGCACTTGGAGCACAGAGGACCGTCACACATGGCATCTCTGCTACTTACGTTGGCCGTGATGGGGCTGCTTCGGCCTCCTGTTGGACAGTTTGGGGATACATGTTTGCCCCTCTTGTGTCATCTTGGGGCTCTCTTGGACCGTCGTGGGGCTTTACTGGGCTGTGCTGGGGCCCTCATGGCTGTCTCGGAGCTCTTCTGGCCGCTCGGGAGGCATGTCCAGACCGTCTCAGGGGCCGTCTTCGGCCGTGTCGGGACTTGCCGTGTGCCCTCTTGGTCCAGCTTCGGGCTGTCGTTGGCCTGTCTTGGGCCGTCCAGGGGCTGACTTGGCGATTCCAGTGCGCCTTGTTGGGCATTTGACAGCGAGCGGACCGATCGTCGACCGAAGAATGCGGACGCGAACCACTGGGAAACATACGGGTTGTCCGTATTGTAGTGGCCTCTGGCCAGTGCCGCCGATCTGGGGCGCTCCGGATGATGATGATGATGATGATGATGATGATGATGATGATGATGATGATGATGATGATGATGATGATGATGATGATGATGATGATGATGATGATGATGATGATGATGATGATGATGATGATGATGATGATGATGGATGCTGATGCTGCTGCTGATGATGATGATGATGATGATGATGATGATGATGATGATGATGATGATGATGATGATGATGGTGATGATGATGATGATGATGACGATGATGATGATGATGATGACGATGACGATGACGATGATGATGATGATGATGATGCTGATGCTGATTGATGATGATGATGATGATGATGATGATGACCGATGGATGATGGATGATGATGATGATGTGATGATGATGATGATGATAGATGATGATGATGATTGATGATGATGATTATGATGAGTGATGATGATGTTGATGTGAGTTGGTGATGGTGTGAGTGATGGTGATGGTGTGATCCCGGCCCCCGCCCCCACCTCCCCTCCTCTCTCCTGTCCCCCTCCCCCTCGCTCCTGTCCCCTCCCCTCTCTTTCCTTCCCCCCTCACCCCTCATTCCTGTCCCCCCGGCCCAATTCTCTCCTCCCCCCCCCCTCCCCCCCCCTCCTCTCTCCTGTCCCCCCCCCCCCCCCCCCTCCCCCCTCTCCTCCTGTCCCCCCCCCCCCTCTCTCCTGTCCCCCCCACCCTCTCTCCTTTTCCCTCCCCCCCCTCTCCTGCCCCCCCCTCTCTCCTGTCCCACAATTACACAATATGAAAATACTCTCCCACTTCCCCTGATGGCGTCCCGCCGACCCCCCCCGCGTACTGTTTTTTTACACAGGATTCCCGGGAAACGGGTTTTCGCCTGCGTTTTTTTCAAAATGCTGCTCTCGCTGAGGCGCCGGCCTCATTTCTGCTCCCGAATCGTTCCGAATCGTGCTCCCGCTGCAGCGTGGGCCTCCTTTTCGGATCGGTGTTTGGCCTCCGTCGTTCAGGATGGCGTTCTCGCCCCAGCGCGGGCCTCTTTCTCGCGCGCCCATCCGCCCGCCACCACCGCGCCGCACCACCACCACCACCACCACCACCACCACCACCACCACCACCACCACCACCACCACCACCACCACCCACCACCAGACCACCACCACCACCACCACCACCACCACCACCACCACCACCACCACCACCACCACCACCACCACCACCACCACCACACAACCACGCACACACGCACGCACGCACGCACGCGCACCACCACCCACTACGCACGCGCGCGCGGAGCCACAGGTCCGCTACGACACGCGTCCGCGGGTAGAGAAAATCAGCGCCATGGTAAGGGATGGGAGGGAGGGGTAGGACGTCAGATATGACGCGAGCGCACTTAGCTTGCCCCCCCCCCTCTCTCCTGCCCCTCCTCCTCTCTCCTGGGGGCTGGCAGGGGGGGGGGAGGTGCCGAGCACTTTCTTTTATCCGTCAGTTAATTACGTCCCCCCCCCTCCCAAGCAGAGCTAAAGCTCATGCTGAAGCAGAGCTTCAGCTTAGACTTCTTAAACTCACACGCAGGATCGGCGGATTTGTGTCCTCTGGACTGCAATGCCACCCAGGAAGCCTCGAGAGAGGAGGGGGCGATTGACTGAGAGGGGGGGGCTTTTCGAAGATGGCAGACACCCTTCACGGCAACACTTGGCATTCTACCGTGCTTCAACGTGCAAGGGGACATTGTTGGGCATTTGTAGCGGAGGTACAACAAGGACGGGATTTTTGGGGTGGATTGGTGAACGTGCAACAACACAACCATTTTATACACATATATATCTATACATGTATATATATAGTTATATACACTATATCATGCATTTAAACATGTATATATAATGTATGTATGTACACACACATGCATACACATACATACGTACATGCATACTTCCATACATGCATGCCTACACACGTACATACGTACGTGCATACACACATACATACATACATACATACATACATACATACATACACACACATACATACATACATACATACATACATACATAAATACATACAAACATACATACATACACACATACACACATACACACATCCACACATACACACATACACACATACACATACATACATACATACATACATACATACATACATACATACATACACACATACGTACATACATACATACAAACATACAAACATACACACCTACAAACATACATACATAACTCCATCCATACGTACGTGCATACATACATACATACATACATACATACATACATACACACACATACATACATACATACATACATACATACATACATACATACATACATACATACATACATACATGCATAGACACACACACATATGTATAATTACATGCGTGCATGCATAGAGAGGGGGATGAGACACCCTTTCCCCCGACACAAAACATACATCAACACTAGCAACACAACGTTGCCGCCACGAGGACGACGGCTTTTGTCGTTGAGCACGATTTCATCATGGCGACGTACTTGGCCGACCGCGTGGTCGTCTACGCGGGGCGGCCAGGCATCGCGTGCAGGGCCTCGTCGCCGAAGACCGTGCTGGAGGCAGGGCCCACGTCGACCCGACCGCTCTGATTCGACCGCTCCGATGTCCAAGCCAGGGCTGGACCTAGACGCTGTTTTGCTGGACTTCGGCTGTGTTTTGTTTTGCGTTTTGCCAGGGAGGTGCAGGACAACGGGTAGAGCAAAACGAAAAGCACAACACGAACACGACACACGAAGCACAACGTTCCGGGCCAGCCCTGCTCCGGGCGGCGAACGCTCGGACACCCCGAGGATGGCTGCTTCCCATCTCGGCGTTTCGCCCAAGCTTCGGCCTCGCGAGGGCCTTCGTGCCCCTGGACCGCCAAAGATCCCGCGAAGCAGCGCCCCCCGGGGGAAGGAGGAGGGAGGGAGGGAGGGAGGGAGGGAGGGAGGGAGGGAGGAGGGAGGGAGGGAGGGAGGGAGGAGGGAGGGAGGGAGGGAGGGAGGGAGGGAGGCGAGACCTCGGGGGCGCGGGCCCGGCCTCCGGCCCGTGCCGCCCCTCTGCTAGGGTTGCTCCTCCTCCTCCTCCTCCTCCTCCGCCTCCTCCTCCCCCTCCTCCTCCTCCTCCTCCTCCGCCTCCTCCTCCTCCTCCTCCTCCTCCTCCTCCTCCTCCTCCTCCCCTTTGGGATGCCTCCTGCAGTCTCCTGGGGTGCCTCGGGGCGGGGGTTCGGAGGCCTCTGTGCGCCTCTTGGGGATCTGGTACTGCTTCGGCCTGCTCGGGCGGAGCAGACTCCGCTGTTCAAGTGTGGAATAGCCATCCTTGCCATCGCAACTGGCGTGAAGCTACCATTATACCTGCATCACAAACGCGAGTGACTGTCCAGAGTGTTCTTGCATCCTTGCCTCTCGGCCAATCCCAACCCTTGACCTTGGAGCACGGGCTTCTAATTTCGGCTTCAATGTGGGTGTCCATGGACCTGACATCCTTGTCGCTCATCCCTCTATGACCCCGTCGCATTGTAACCAACCCGACCACTAAAGCTGGCGTTGTTAACAGGGCAGCCTTGTTCCGTTCGATTCGTTCCGAGGCGCGCTCACTATCAGAGCTTTGGCATGCAGTTGTGCTCAGCATGCGGGTGATTCTTCGAACCTCTAGATTCTTGGCATTGTTAGTTGCGAAATTCCGCCGACCCGCAGAAAAAGGGTACAGTGGAGACCCATACCAAGAAGCACCCAGCTTGCCTCCAGGGTGCCCTGGGTTTCTGGGGTTTCGATGGTTCTGCTATGGAAAGCGTGGCGTTCCACACCAAAAATCAACGGACGTCCTGGGGTCTCAGGGTTGGGTTTCTTGCGGAAGGTTTCTTGTGGAAGGAGGAGGAGGAGGAGGGGGAGGAGGAGAAGGAGGAGGAGGAGGAGGAGAGTGGGAGGAGGAGGGAGGAGGAGGAGGAGGAGGAGGATGGGATGCGGATGATGATGATGCTGATGATGATGATGATGATGATGATGATGATGATGTGATGATGATGATGATGATGATGATGATCTGATGCTGATGCTGATGATGATGATGATGATGAGATGATGATGATGATGATGATGAGGATGATGGATGATGAGGAGGAGGAGGAGGGAGGTGAGGAGGAGGAGGAGGAGGAGGATGAGGAGGAGTGTGGACTGGCCTCCACTTCACGGGCGACTTCGATCTGGTGTGTGCCGCTTCCCGTCGTGTTGCTGTGCTCAGCATGCGCTTCGTTCTGTCCAGCCGTTAGCTCCTCGAGAGGGTTCCTCCTCCTCCTCCTCCTCCTCCTCCTCGTCTTCGTCTTTGTTTCCTCCCCTTCCATCTCGCATTCCTCGACCTCCTCCTCGTCCTCCTCCTGCACCTCCTCCTCCTCCTCCTCCACCTCCTTCTCCGATTTCGGATGTGTTGTCTTCCGCTTCCCGTCGTGCTGCTTGCGTGTAGCTGTCGCTCCTTTGTCCTCCTCTTCCTCCGCGTCTGCCGAGAGTATCCTTGGGGTCCTCGTGGGATCCTCGCAAGGGTTCCTGGGGCCTTCTGTGGGATGCCCTCGGATACTCTGACGATCCGACGTTGCCCGACCCCTCATGGCGCTGCTGTGCATCTCGGCGCGACCCATTCGATCCGTTTCCGACTCCGTGCCAGTGTGGCCCAGGTCGATGCGACGTTCCGATCCGATCTGAGTCATCGGTTCGATGTTGATTGATTTCGGCTGGAGGGCATGAACGAGTTCCTGGCGCAGCTGGGGATCACCTTCCGGCGCTCAGAGGAGAGCAAACAATTAGAGGATCGAGGTTTGCTGTGCTGTTCGGCGTCTGGAGGCGACAAAGTCGCCAGGGTACCGATCTGGAGCGGATTTTGAGTTTTTGTCAGGCAGACTACTACCGATACTGATACCCTTCCCTCGCATTCGCTTTCTTGGCCGTCCCGAGGGGCTCTCGGCGCCGCGGCTGGATTCGCGGCGGCTTGGATTACATTTGTAGCGCTCAGAAGAGAAAGGTCTGCCGATCCGAGAGAAAAGAGAAGCCGGAAGCAGAAAGTTTCGGATGTTCGCGCGCAGTTCTCGGGTCGGCTCCGCCTCCCGTCCCTGCGGCGCCTTCAGCGCCGCCCCTGGCGCGCTTCGCGTGCCATGGCAGTGACGGCCAGCGCCGACCCCAGAATTCCGCACAGACCTCACAAGTTTTACGCGTATGTTGTTCTATGCTGTCTACCTTGAGAGTGTTTCACAATTGAGGGTTCTAGTGGAGGCGACAAAGGCCCACATCGAGAATCCACGAAAGGACGGGGAGCCCCATCACGCCGTTCCCGGACGGCCGTTTCGCTCGAGACTTGCTCAACATGTATTGTGGAATCGTGCTCTCGCCTCAATGCCGGCTACATCTTTGGGTCCAGACGTCAGCATTTTTTGGTAAAATGTATGCTAAGGTGCACATGGCCGTGCCCCCACCCCATTCACAGCTGCACCTGCCCCAGGAGTCCGTAGGACTGTACGGTTTCATTCGCCGACCTGCTCTTCGAACCGCCTCGGTACCTTTGCTACTGTTAGGGTGCTTGGCTGGGCTTAGCAATGCTGATGCCGAAACCCGACCCTCGCTGTCGCCTTTTTGGACCTCGCGAGGGGCTCTGGCTGCAACAGATGGGTGCCGCTCAGGACTCTGGTCGGAACTCGCCACCAGAGAGGACCAGGGATGTGGCGATCGCGGTACAGGAGGCTTTGCAGGAAGGGCCTCGTCTGCGAGGATCGAAGGGGTTGTCATCTCATCCTCGGCGGAAGGCGGCGGCAGGCCAGCGGAAGGCGGTGGAAGTAAAATGAAGTCGCCTTCGCCGGCGGAAGCCGGCGGAAGCCGGCGGAAGTAGAGATCGGCCTCCTAAGAGATTGCAGGTTTTTTTGGTTCAGGGTTTCCGGAACTTGCCATACGACGAAAGAGCAGCACACACCCATATTCATAGGCGGGTCGGAGGGAGGAGGCTTGGCTATGGGTGTGGGCGCGGATTGTCGGACCCCGGGTGAGGCTCCCAGTCGAGCGGGGACCCCGTCCAACAACACGCACCCATAGCCGAATCCTTCCCCCTGATGGGTATGAGTATGTGTGTCTGTGTGTGTGTGTGTGTGTTGAGCGGGCTCTGCTTCGGTCTCCCTCCCGCCGCCGCCGGGCGCCTCCTCCCTCCTCCTGCTGCATGGCGGCTCAATTCGCGTTTCGTGCGTCCTACCGGCGCCCTGTCGCCAGCGCAGTGACTCTGCCTAGCCGCCGACGCAAAAGTGTGTGTGTGTGTGTGTGTGTGTGTGTGTGTGTGTGTGTGCGTGTTGCTCGTTCGTCACCACATGTTACTCCCCCAGGCGCGACCCGCAGAACTTCCGGCCCCGCATCAACAAGATCGATTCCATCAAGGATCAGGCCAGGGGGGCGCCAAGCCTGCTCGGGCACCCGTCCTGGCTGGGCCAGTCCTCGGCCTTCCGACATCGACTTGTCATCGCTCGGGCGTGGGCATTTTTCTTGGCAGCGGTCGTATAGGAACATGTTGGGCCATCTTGCGGAGACGTACACGCACGAAGCCGAAAACACGCACGAGAGGGGGTGGGGCGGCGAGGAGGCAAGGGTGTCCGCGAGTCGTTCGGGTCGTCTGCTGCTGCGCAGCAAGCTGCACTCGCTCGGTTCGGTCCGTTCGGTTGTAGCGCCTCTACGTCCATCTACTTAATTAGGCTGCTTTCGGCCCTTCGGTGTTTCGGCCTCGTTGTCTGCTCGGTCGGTTTTCGGTCCTGTTGATGCCGTGTACGCCTGTGGGGGCCGGGAGGGGGGGGCTCCTGAGGCGCATTCTCAGAAGCCTCCGATCCCTTCTGCGAAGCCCCCTGCCCCCTTCTCAGAAGGCAGCCCCCCCCCCAGCGCCGCCCCTCGTCGGCGCGCCGCCGGCTCCCACCAGGAGCAGAAGAAGAGCGGCAAGTACTTCGTGCTCGATTCCTGACGCCGCCGCCGCGGCCCTGGCCGTGGCCAGCCGTCCTCGGCCCCAGCCCGCCGCCGTGGCCAGCCGGCGTGCCGTGGCCGGGGCCAGCCGTCGTGGCGAGCAGCCTCGGGTGTTGCTAGAGGTGCCCCTGGCCCAAGGTGCCCCCAGGATTTTCAAGGAGGCCACTACGGCCTCCAGAGCACCCCTCACGAGGTCCAGAGGGCCCCCAGGAGCTCCAACATTGAGCGAAAAGCTGGGGGCACCTGGAGCCAGGGGCACCTTTAGCAACCCCCGACAGCCGTGGCCGGCCGTCGTGGCCGTGGACGCGGCCGCCGCCGTGGCCGAGGCGGCCGTCGCTGCGGG